ACCCAATATTGCCTATCAACTAAGTCCTGAGCCAGTTCGAATTTCTTCACTCAAAGCACTGAAGATAATTTAGTGTTGAGGCATATTTTGAATTGATTGGTTCGAAACTACCACTAGATCTTGAATAGGATATGTATTCACCCTAGGTCGTATCATGCCATGAAGGAATTACAGTGGAATTTTTCCCACCATCATATGGGAAAGCCCAACTTTTTCGTTGAATTTCAAATGGACTTGCTTCTTCAGACACTCTAATCCAGGATCAACCTCATATGGCCTAGGACGAACACAGCTCTTATTCGAGATCCATTGGTAGTCTATAAACCTACTCAATCGAAATATACATAATATAAGGTATGAAGGCCAAGATGGTGTGGCATTTTGTGTGATCGCAGTTTTCTTTCGCTGTATAGAGGTTGTTTGACCTTGTTCTCACAACTGGGTCATATTGGTAGGAAGACTTAGAGGAACGCAGCTAGTCCGGGGTCCATTGTATGCATCATCATTTCCAAAGTCGGACCGTCAATGTGGTACATCTATAATATCAAGTCTATGACTTCCTATGCCCTAGTCTCTTGTGTGCCAACCCACAAAAGTTGTGGTTCAACAATGAACCTAATCGAAACAAGCTGTACCACAACATTTTTGGGTTGGTACACAAGAGACTAGGGCATGGCAAGTCATAGACTTGGTATTAGGGATAGAAACGGGATAAAGACGGTGGGAACCGGAGCTAGTTGGCTGACGGTAGGTCCATTGTACCAGAGACGTGGAATATGTGGAGAACATGAACAATATCATGACACTCAGAGGCTTGCGCCTAGAATTAGTCACCCAAACGCAGGTGAGGGCGAATATCGTTTCCAGTAGGACAGAGTCGAGTGAAATTGGTGAACAAGGGGTAAAACTATGAAAGAGGACTGCATAATAATAAAGCAGACTCTGATCAACATTCCCTGCACAAGGATAAAATAGGGGGGTGGGGGGTGGGGTGAGGACGACAGTTGGAGTGTGAAGGTTTCATGTCGCTCAAAGGAGCACACTAAACTATATCCAAATAAATACGGTAAAAATTGCAATGGTGAAGGCATGATAAGATTCTACCGGAAACGCGAATAACCCAGGGCAGAAGGGGAGGTACCATAATTGTTTAGCACACGTTT